ACTCGATACGGGCCCCCCACCCGCCACGGGCTGTTGGCGACCGCGGCGCTGCCTACTGGTGTGATACTATTTGTAATAATAGGGAGCCAAAGCGTTCATGAAAGACGCTTTGATCATAAAACGGCCAACTGTCTGTGCTTGCATGAAATGCAAGGTCCTATTTTGAAAGTCCATACACTGCACTGGTGAACACATTGGATATTGTTTGAAGAGTCTCCGAAACATGTTGGATGTGCAGCAAGATGCATATCAATATTAGTCACGGTTTTCTTAGGCACCCAAAAAGCTTTAATTAACCCTCGCCCTGGTCGGGGGGTCGATGCGACCCCCCTAAGGTTTTTCAAGGATAGTGTAAAAACGACGGCGCACAGCGCCGCCAAATTTGGCACAGCCTATGGGGCAGCCTTGTTACATATGCCCTGGAAATTTCAGGTCCGTGTGACCTTGGGTCAGGTCACCAGGTCAGAAAAAGCGGTACAAGGTCATGGTCAAATTTCAATTTTCTTTATGCACCTGTCCAACTCACAGTTTTGAGTGATTTCCTTCAAACTTTCAGGATGTGCTAAGTTCACCGAATTGTATAACATATAGTTCGTTTTTTATGTCACTGACCTTAAGTCAGTTAGAGGTCATTACGTCACAATATTAAGCCTATGGGAAAATATTCTAATGACTCCAATTCGGAAAATACGCTTCGTTCTATCGCTTTTGTGTTTTTTTGTAGGTATAGGTACGTAGTTTAAATTTGAGACCAATGTCGTTCAAGGTCAGGTCACCAGGTCACGTCAAGTGACCTTACTTCAGAAAAAAAGTTCCAATGCTCCCCATGTCTACACCGACTGAACGATCGCTTTGAGGCTTTCAGCGATTGATCAGAGCAACAGTATGAATAAAGAATTATGTCTCGGAATTTCGATATCTGTGACAATTTTGTTAGGACAATTTTGCGACCTCTCCATTATAAGTCAATGGAAGAAAATTGAAATGCGTCTCTTTTGGACGACTATCATTTTAAACACTCAGTAGCGGTTTACAGGTAAATATGACACATTTAATCGGTAAATTAGGGGAAGATGGGGAACACCGCCCTTTTGGGAACACGGCCCACCCCGATATCAGAAATATAAAAAGGCCTAGGGCGAACGGAAGTGCAGGTAATGGGCAGTGCACCGCATTGGTTTAGGTGATTTGCGAGAAATTCCTCATTTTACGTTTCGTGAATGCGTTTCTTTCATACTTTTTCTTGCATAATAAGCAGAAGAAAACTTGTCTTATTTGACAGATATTAGTCCTGAAGTAGTATTTTTTTGTCATAATTAGGACTCATCCAAGTATTACGTGCTCCCTGCTCGAGCGAAATTTGTGTCGTGCTGCCATATCGAAGGATTTTTAAAGAAAAATGCCGACACTTGAGTAACACCGCCCACTTGGGAAATTTGGAACCCATTTAATAGCACATTGTGACACCTAACCCAGGAGTGACGCATTTCAAAAGTCCTCTCATGCAAAGAAATTGGATAGGTATAGCTGAAAAACGGAGCTCTTGAGAGCGATTGCCGATTGCCGTGGTTCAATGTTTTGCGTCGAAATCGGGCGAACATGACGTCACTCTGGCGTCATTTCCGGCCGATCTATGGTAGCTACGAAGTTCATATTTTGACACAAGGTGTCAAATCGCTCAAAATTGATGCAGCCGAAGGTAATGGAAATCAGATGGAATAGTAACCTTTTGCTCATAACTAAAGTAAGCCAAAAACAAATCCAAAATATATTTTCGGTGCTGAACCTTCTTCAGTGGAAACAATATATTTTGGATTTGTTTTTGGCTTACTTTAGTTATGAGCAAAAGGTTACTATTCCATCTGATTTCCATTATAATCATAATCATGCTAAAAAAACGTCTCACACCATTCAATCAGCCGAAGGTAATGAAAGTTTGGCGTCGATGCGTAAAGCAAGCGGTTTAGAAGTTAGTGCAGAACAACGAGAGGGGGCTATGAATAGTGAATACCCTCCCCCCAGTGGGGCGCGGGTTAAAACATTTAATCTCTTATGACCTCTGGTGACCTCAATATTGACCTGATCCAAAACAGTGTTCTATTACGAAGTTGGAGGTCTTTCAACGACCTAGCAAACGCCGTTTACCGTTTGTCGTTCCCAGGGCTGAAAAAAGTGTTTCGATGGTTGTCGTCCGAAGGAAAACGGGCTTATTTGGTTGTCGACTAAAGATGTCTAACCCGCACCCCGCTGAGGGTCCTTGACAGAGGCGGATCCAGCTCAGAGTTTTTGGGGGGCAAACCATAACAATTTATCGATTCTTTCCATGCCTCGTCCATAGGCGTAATGTTAAAATTATGCCTTTGGGGGGGGGGGCAAATGCCCATTTTGCCCCCCCCCCCCTGGATCCGCCACTGGTCCTTGATTTCCACGCCCTGCTGGGGGGGGGGGGAGGGTCCAACACCCCGCTCTTTCAACTCTGATCCTGGGTCAAGTAGTGACAAGCAGAAAACGGCATTCGAAAGAACGTCCAAAATAAGGACGAAAATATGTCATTCATTTTTTAGGTCAAGTCAAAGGTCAGGTCACCAGATACCATTAAATGAAAAAAATGTTGCCTATTTCAACTTTTTTCTTGCAACACCGGCACACAACTCGAAAACTAATTATAGAGCTACGGCGCCGCGGAAAAGATTCGATAGCCCTTTTGACCCTTTCCGTGACCTCGACGGTGCCACTGGTCGACTTCCACTCACCTTTGAACAAAACGTGCTCATGTTACTAGTTAGTACATGCACTTTAGTCGTGCAGACGCCACGGACCTTGCGTGCGAATACATTCTAATTCCTCTCCTCCTTGAAAGCGTAGGGCGCTCAGCTGTCAGGCTCAAATGTCCGACGATCCTTATTCCTCGACCTCGGAAGTCCCGAGACACCATATCCTCGTGGGCATGACATGGCGTGCCCTCCCCGCATCAAAATATTACCGGCACTGGCGCGGTCCCACTGCGGACCTACCCCTAGGCGCCGCCGGGGCCCCGGCGGGGGTGGGGGTGGGGGTGGGTATGACGTCACAAAAGGAGCCCCGGCGGATTGGAGGGGACGCTACGCCGGCCGGGGGCGGCGCTGAAGGGTGCGGGCAGGGGCCGGCCGAGTCCTGGAAGGTACTAGATTTGCCAGACACGTGCATGCCAGTGGACAACCACGGCGACCACTTGGTATGCCATTGGTCGCCTTTATGAGGGTCGCCGGTCGGCCGTCCGAACGATGGTCGAACGACGCAGTATATACCTACTAAATAGCTACGGGGAGTTGGAATATGTCTGTAGCTACCAGGAAATTTTCCACTGGGATGCAGCCGCGTAGGGAGGTAACGGACTCGAGAACTGCGAGTCGATTTGATGGGGGAGGGGCAGAGAATGGTTTGCGTGGGCAGAGGCGATTGGGTAGGGTGGGCAGAGACGAATGGATTGCGTGCTGCGTGGTCGCCAAAGATCGTCTTCTCGGTTGTCGTCGACAACGACAAAACGATACAATTTTTCACCCCTGGTCGTTCCATTCGTGGTTTCCGAAACCTGAATTTGGGGGGGGGGGCGATTCCGAACCTTTTAGCTCCAGCCCGGAATAGGGTTAATTTTACCCAAGGCCCTATATACCATTTTATCCGTCTCTCAGCTTCTTCTAACGCAGTCATCGACTGAACTTCGTATCATCATATAAATCATTCGTATTCCGTGGGCTCTAAAAATCCCACCCACGTAGGGTAAGGCGCCTAATTAGTGACCCCCGTCCCCCCTTAATTTGAACCGTCATTGCTCACGCTCTGTGGGTGCCACTGTATTACTGGCTTGATTTTCGCAGAGATCGCTCATTTTTCTATTAAAATATAGCCATTTTCTGCCCCAATATTCACTAACGTATTTGTAGTGAGCATAACTCTTCCCGATTAGCGACCGGGGAGGGTCGCTAATAAGTCTATGGGTTTTCCCATATTAAAAATGGCAAAAAAATGCGACGCCTGAAAAGATGAAATATGATCTCAAAAAGGTAACCTATACGCAAAGCACTCAATCACTCGAACAGGAACGTTTATCCAACACATTTACGTAAGTAAAAACTGATCACGTGATGCACCGAGGGCGAAAAGAAGGCGGAAACCCAAATTTTGCGGGCTATCTCGTATGATATTCGAGTTCCGCGCTGAATTCGGCATCTCTGCAGTCGGTGACGACATTTGGCATCCCCTGCCACACATTGCAAGCTTCAGCAACACCTCATTTTCATTTCTCTCTTTTCCCCTTTCTTTCCCAATTCTTAAGCTATTTGCGACCGTGTCAGGCGCAAATAGGAAATATGAGTTGCGACACATTTTTAACCGCCATGCAGTGCACAGTTGAGCGATTCACTATGGGAAAGCGACAATCATTTGAAAAAGGAATGTCGATTCAGAATAAAAAAGGTGCATCATCCTAATGTGCATCGCTTTTCATCAGAGAGGGCCCAAACACACACGTTTTGGATAAGAAACTCGTCATTTTTATTTAAACTCACCTGAAACGTCCCACCAGAAACATCAACGACCGGAAAATAATTTAATTTTATAACCAAAGTATGGCTGACCTTTTGACGATATTTTTACCCCGTTTTCTCCTGCCAGAATTTCTGTAGGGAGGTAGGTCGCAAATCGGAAAGGGTCGCTAATTAGGCACCTTACCCTATTGTCGGTGTAAGGCGCCCACTGGGCAGCGTGCACTCGGTGGCCTGCTGTCCCCTCCCGGACGTGGGGAGAGGGGGGGGGGGTCAGGGGACGGTCGCACTGACGCCGATTACTGCGGGGCCGGCCGGCAGCAGCTGATAAACACTGGTGAGATGGTCGGGGCGGGGGTGAGAGGGGGCTGGGGTCGGCGGACCGGAGCGGGGCGGCTCGGTCCAGCTCCAGTCACAGTGCCAGGGCAGACGCGGGGCCGCGGCGCGCGGACCGCGGGGCCCGGGCCCAGTCCAGACGCCGTCCGCCTGTGCGCCGCTCTCTGTGTTATCAGCGCCGCACCGCTGCCGTCGGGGGCTGGTACGGCCCGCAGTCCGGCGCGTGGTGTTGTGAGTGGAGCTCCGTCAGTGGGGTGCTCACTCTCAGCTGGACGGCTGGACGGCTACAGAGCCGCGCCGGGCGGCAGTGGGCTTCGAGTCAGTGCTCAGTGTCGGTAGCTGAAGCGCCTGCTATCGCCGAGTGAATCAGTCAGGGGTCTGTCTGAGGTGCCCACTGCCCAGCTGCCGCCGGCAGTCGGCGGTCAGACACAGCTGTCACCGGATCGGGCCAGTTTGTCACCCGACCGCACTCCGTCGGCCGACAGTGCCGACAGTCGAGCCGCCCGTGGTGACCCGCCGCCGAGCCGCGGCCCGATGGTGGCCACCGATGCCGCCGCCGTGCCCGACTATGGCACCCTGCGACCTGCCGCGGCCGCCGGAGATGACGGCACCAAGCGACTGCTCTCCGGCTCAGCACGGTGAGTCTTACTCTGACGAGTCGTCGACTTCGAGTCGCTGAGGACCGAGGAGTCATTGACCCGACACCCGGGCTCAATTGGATGATTGACGGCTGCTAATTCTGAGTCTAAACTCTAAAGTGACTGCTCACGGCATTTTCAATTGGGTATACTGACTCAGCGGGGCTGCCCATACCGTGATTAAAGTCTTGAATATCCACTGCACTACAGAGACCCGAGAAACTTTCCTACGCCGCCCTTTCGGGAGGGTCAGTTAGTGGAAAAATACCGTCTATGCTCACCGTCTTGCGTCTTGGGTAGGGTAGGGTATGGTAGGGTAGTGTAGGGTAGGGTAGGGTAGGGTAGTGTAGGGTAGTGTAGGGTAGGTTAGGGTAGGGTAGGGTAGTGTAGGGGTAGGGTAGGGTAGGGTAGGGTAGGGTAGGGTAGGGTAGGGGTAGGGTACTACCATACAAAACACTTGAACACCCCGCACCTATCACCAACCCTTACAGTTTAATTAAAAACAGCTACCCAAATCTATCCAAATAATACATCTTAAAATACAAGTCAATCACCCAAACTAATGCACCCGTAACATAACATAAATCAAAACATGCAGTTATCGCGTAAACCTGTACCTCTAGTTATCTTAAATTTACAAGCCATGGAGAATGATTGCAACTTGGCCACAGCTTTTCACTGTTTTTCTTGCATCCGTTGCATATTATGCACTACAATTTTGCGACACATTAAGTCACAATGTGCTAAAATATTTAGCGGTCACAACCTAGAGGAAAATGGCTCGTCTATTGCGCAGCATATACAAATGTGACGAAAGTACTGTATTCAGTAGGCCAAACCTTTTGCTGTTTGCGTTAGCAGTATCCGAAATTTCCATGGAAACCAGGTATGACTAAAATTATAAAAAGAGCTTTAAAAGTCGGACAGACAAAAAATACGAACCAACTATAACTGAAGCATCAAAGAAACGAACAATGATGGCTGGATACTTATCAGCGTTTCTTTATTGTCCCGCGCTAGCTTCTGTTGACGTCATTCCATCGGAGCTGGCTATAGTTCCCTTCGAACATTATCCGGGCATTATTTGACGTCCAGCTCCCGTGAGCCTTGACCTTGTGGAATTTGTAAACATCCAGTCAACTGTTTATGCAAATTAAAGTTATTAGTTCATGGCTTTCCCTAGTCAAATTTTGATTGAAGTCATTCTGTTTATAAAGTATAGCTCATATAGATTGGTATTTCAATTTGATGCTGTTGGAATCAAGGAGAGAAGGCTAAAGTAATCAACCAGAAGTGAATTGAAATGTTTGGAAACAAAATTCAGTCAACTTTTTTATACAATTCCGAGTCATTGTTAAGAAGTATTCTATGATTGTTAAGAAGTATTCCATGCTGCCCTCAGATCTGAACCTGCTGGTGAATCTATTTTCATGACTAACTATGCATCCTGATCCAGCAGTGATCAACAGTAGTCCTTTGCGGCACGGTACTTGAGCACATCAACACATAAAACATCTTTTTTGCCTGCATTTTCATATCATTTAAAAATAACAGGAGCTGAAAGGAGAGATCAAGATGGAAACTACCATACTTCTCCTGTTCAAGCTGTTTTCTGCTGAATAGGTCACAGTCATGATGTAAAACATCAGATTTTTTTAATGCAATGTATTCAATTAATGATTCTCCACATGTGAGGTAAGCCAGCATATTCCAGGTATTTTAGTTGGTATGTAGGTACCTGCCTGGTGCACACATCCTTCATTATCCTATGTACTTTTGTTATGTGTCTAAGTATTTTTTTTTTAGCTCACAAATTGTGCTTAATTTCATGCTCTCAACATCAAACAGTTTTTCATAACATATGAACATTTTAATTTTATCATCGGTATCGATTAAAAAGTAGATGTGGGCTTATGGTTATAGGGCTGATAGATTAAGCAATGCATGTAAAAATTGATTTATTTATTGAGGTGGTATGAGGTAAAGGTTTTTTGATTGGGAATTATTTATATGACATTGTTTATTTCTTTTTTCACATTTTGTACAATATTCAGTAGGTATTCATTTATCTACTTCTGCATATTTATCTTCCGTGAATTGTGTTAGGGTGCGTTCGGAGAGCGCGGAATATTCCCCGTCATCGTGAAAATTCCCCGTGTTGCGTTCGGAGAGGGACATTCCATACCGCCAATTTCAAGGATCGCCGCTTCTGCGCCAAGTTGAGTTCGTGGGATTTTGTTTGGGTTATTTGGGTTATTTGGTTATTTGGAACGCTACATCTATGGCAAGATGTAATAAGAATGAAGCTCTTGAAGAAAGAACAACTAAGAAAAATCACAATTATTTTCAAAAAGTCCCATCTGTACTGTGCCCCCCCCCCCCCGCCCACCCCAAACACACACAACACAACACTTCAAATTATCGTTTTCATTGCTTCAGAGGACAATCACACAACTGAGTAAGCATTATCAATTGTTGGATTTGCAATAAAACTGATCAGGGTGGAAACAAACGCAAGAAATATCCATTTATATTCAATAATATACTCACTCGAGCATATTGATGGGCGCCGCCATCTTGACGGGAACGACGCGTGAGATGCTTTTTAGATTCCGCGCTTTCCGCGTCCGTTCCGCGGAACTTTCCCCGGGAATCGCTCTCCGAACGGCACATTCGGCGGAAATTTCATGCCGGCGTGGAATATTCCCCGGGAATCTGCCTCTCCGAACGCACCCCTAGGTAGGGTAGCATCAACTGCTTTTAGAGAGAGATATGAAATATCAATATGAGCTATGGCTTCTATTTTGATGATGTGTAGGACACATAGTGATATTAGTTAATCAGCATTTTTTACCATCATCTGTCAGCTGTACCTATTTGTGCTGATTGCTGCTGTCCATCGCCAGGTACGTGCCTCTGCTGAATGACGGCCGGTCGCTGGACCACTGTGCCGTCATCAACAAGGGTACTGACGAGGAGCTGACGGCGCGCGGGTTCCGGCTGTCGGCGGCGCGCGCGGCGCTCTGCTGGCTGGCCACCCTGCTGCTGGCACTGGCGCCGCTGCTGCTGGCCTACTGGCGGCCCGACTGGAGACTGCGGCTGACCCACCGGCGCTGCCCGCTGCGCGACGCCACCGCCGTGCTGCTCAAGGTACGAGCTGTCCCCACGTCTGCCCATCGTTACGGCTGTGAATTATCGGCAGAGTAACGGGAGTGCCTGGGCTGTGCGGCGCTGACGGAAACCGGCAGAAGCTGAACTGCGTGGCGTTTACCTTCCTTTGCCTGGCAAACGTAGACGGAAAACGCTTTTTAAATTAGGGTCCCTTTAGTCGGATCTGGGTGGCCATCTAAGGGAGTGATTTCGCGGGTAAAATGGTACCTCATTTCTCGTCCTGTCTTTTTGATGCTCACAGTTCCCACACCAGCCGCTGTAACGGCCTCAATGCCACTTTCTTTGTATCTACTGCTCTTGCCATAGCCGTCTTCTTCTGTGTCGTAATATCTGTGTGATGTGTCTCAGTGCCTGTATCTGTGTGTGTGACCCTGACGAGTCACCCCGTCTTCCCAGGACGCGCACGGGCGTGTCACCGTGGAGTCGGTGGTCAGGGAGACGGCCGGGCCTGCCACGCCCGAGCGGTTCCGTATTGTCGACACTGAGGAGAGCGAGTCGGGCTCCGAGGGGCCGGCCGACAACACCGACAACAGTCCGCTGCTGCCGCTGAGACAGCGCGAACAGGTCAGTGAACGGTCACTGACCGGTCACAGCTCGTTCCCGCCTCGGGTCACTAACGGGTCACAGGTCGGTCCTGCCCCGGGCCCTGTTTCACGGTCGCCGCCAGCAGACTGCCAGAACACGTGTCAAATTGGGTCTCCATGGAGACATCAACAAACTCGTATCTCCAACATTACCACAATCTGTGACGTCAGCTCGCGAAAGGCGCTGGCATTGCGCTGGCAGCGGCCATGAAACAGGGCCCTGGTCTCTGACCGGTCACGGGTCGGCCCCGCCTCCGGTCACTGACGGGTAGCAGGTCAGTCCCAGTCCCCTGTCATTGTCTGCCGGTTACGGGTCAGGCCCGGCTCACAGGTCACTAAATCAGTTACAGATCAGTCCCAGCTCCCAGCTCACTGGTCACCGGCCGATCGCAGGTCATTCACAGGACACCCTGATCACCAAATACAGGCCAGTCGGTGAAAGGTCATCATACCAGCCACACGTCTATCTCTCTCCTGTCAAGAGTCAGCAACAATTAAGCAGATTCTCACGGTCTGGTGTTGGGGAGTGGCAGGGGCGATTCCTGGTGTGACAATGTGACGTCTGCTATTGGGTGGAGCTGTGGCGTAGTACCCTTACCATGTTTATCGGTGTCACGTAGTGTCAGTATGCTACCTTTGAACTTGATGACGTGCGTTCATCACACGAGATCCTCGTATTCTGGGAAGTCTGGCATTCCAGAAAACCTTGTCAGTGTTTACGATGTGGGTTGCGTAACACTGTACACGCCACACGACGTTCACATGGAATAGCACATGGTAATTTACCTTTTCCCTTTTCTCTTGCTACGACAGTAATATATGTCCCGAATGTGTGTGTCGTACCGCTCGTGGGTCCTCACTCCCTCTCCCCGGGGTCAATCCGACCTCTGTCCCACACTGTCAGCGGAGCGGGATATACTGATATCCCAGGTCACCTGACGACTGACATCCGACCACAGTGTTTTAGCTGGAGATCTTACCGATCAAAGGTCTAACCAGTATCGGCGATCGGCTGCAGCGAGGCACAGATCGAGCCAATGTGATAGGGGTATGGCACGCATAAATCGGTGTTTGGGGTGCTCTATGTATTTATGATAGGTTTCGTGTTTATTACTATTTTTGATAAGTGAATGATAAGTCAGAAAATGAAGAGAGAGACCGCTCTTATGGCGGGCTTGATTCCAAAATCAGCAGTCAGCACGTCGTCAGTGAATTTGAGAAAAATCGTGGATCGAGATGCAATGCTCGCCATTGACATTCACCAATTGTGCCCCAGCGCTGGTTTCATTGACTCGAGTGTCTAACCTGCCACCTCTGGTGACGTCATCTCCCCCTGTGTGTGATGTCACCCGCCCCACCCACGCCGTGCGCACGCTGTGTGCCCAGGTGGAACGGCCGTTAGCGGGTCTGCCGACCGACTCCGGTCAGCCCGAGGTACTGCCCACCCCCTCCGCCCTGACAGGGGCCGCGTGAGTGCGGTGCGGGGGCACGGTGATGGTACGGTACACACACTGACACAGACACGCATGGCCACAGACCGACCCGGTGCCGGCTCCCGGCGCCGGCTCCCGGCGCCGTGCTGACTGCTTGTGGTGGTGCCTCGCTTCGGTGGTGGGTGTTTGAGACGGGCGCCCTCTGTGACAGTGCCGCTGCCGGGCCGTCGGATATGCTGTATGGTTCTCCTCTTGTATTGATTCTCGTCTCTCATCGTCTCTTGTATCAATATATGATTGGTCTGGGTGCTACGTCGTCGTCATGTGACGCTCATATGTCGATCGAACGTCTCATGGTGGCTTCCACGCTGCCGTATATTGCTACAAACAGACAACCTAGCAGTCTTTTCCTTCCAACCCTTCATCTTTGGCAACACTATTCTGTAAGTCCTTGTTTCTTCTATCCATTGTATACGAGATACGAGTTGAATTGCCTACTGGTATGTTGAATATTATTAATACTGCTTAGTGTGATTCATTTATGATTTATTGCGGTGCATGCAGCTCGCCTTGGTTTACGCAGATGACACGTTTTTGTCCTTTGCTTTGCTGCTTATGATACATACTTTACTTGTTTTTGTAACTTTTGTGACGTCTACGACTCGCCTAGATTTCATTGACACACGCGTTTTTTGCTTATTGTCCTTGGTATATGTTAGCTTTTTGCGACTCATTTTGTTCACTTCTTTTGTATGACATCATCCAACTGTTCACACACTTCACACGTCACGCATTTCCCGGCTTTGAAAGGCTCAGATTCATAAAATAAAGACCTCAGCTGGCATTGTCCGTATATTAAGAACGTGTATCGTCCGTGTATTGCGAAGCACACTTTGAAATGTCCAATCTTGTGATTGCTAGCTAATGGTTTTCTTTGGTCATAACCTTACCTAATCAATTGTGTCATTTATCTCCGATGAGCTTCAGTAACAACCACACTGAAACATGGATAACTTGCTTTGATATGCCTCCTTAGCTAGTGCATTAATAATCCAATAACCCATCTTACCGGACTGCTGCGATACTCATGCCATATCCAGCCGCCCTATGGTGACACTCGTATCCTAACTACCACTCACCGCTCGTCGGCAGGGCTACCTACGCTACTTCTGGGCCTACCACCTCAAGTACACGTGGGACCACCTGTCGGGCCGGTTCGTCCAGCTGAGCGGTCTCGACCGAGATGTGACCGTGCACGAGCTGCTGGAGCAGAGCCGCGGCTTCTCGGAGGACCAGCGGGACGCTAGGTGGGTCCGGTGAGACTAGAGACTAGAGAGATGATGTCACTAGACTAGAGACTAGAGATGTCAATCAGATACCAACTTTTTGGTATACCGATACCAAACCGAACCAACTTGGTATTTGGTATTTCAAGGCTAAAGCATCTGGTATTTTGTTGGTATTATCGATCCTCACTTATGTATGTATAAGGGTCCGTGAATTCGGTAAAAAGTTGGTATTTTCCTGGTATTCCCAGGTTGGTTTGGTTTCGGTATTTGTCCATGGATATTGTTGGTTTGATATCGGTTTCCCGATTTTCTGTAATTGATATCGTTAGTCCGGTGATCCGGTCTGACCGAGCATGGGTTACCCTCTGTGACAGGATTTACTGTGACGACCAGTCAGCTGTGTATTTGACGTGCTTTTAGGACCGTATGAAGTGATGCGCCACTCACAGTTTGTCCTTCCCTCTGCGGCAGGATTGGATTTGTTGCGGCGACCAGCATGTTGTATGTGTTGGACAGCGTGTTGAACTTGTACGCCCGTAACGAATGACGCGCCACTCACAGCTGACCCTTCCTCTCCTCCCCGGCAGGCTGTCGCTGTACGGTGCGAACCTGATCACGGTCGAGGTGAAGTCGTACCTGAAGCTGCTGGTCGAGGAGGCGCTCAACCCGTTCTACATGTTCCAGGTGGGTACTAGAGTACCATCCGCACTTAACCCTCTTAGGGTTATGTGGACGCCCCACTTACGACACCAACTCTGAAACAGACGATTCATAGCGCTAGTGCGTGCGTGGTGTAGTACGTAAAAACATAGTTGAAATGATATGACAGGTGTTTGGAAGTTTGTAGGTGAGACTGCAGTACATCATATTGCATTTACACAGACACCATATCTCGCAGTTGCATATGACAACAATTAAACATGCATATCACACGGTTGAATAGCATTCGTGAATTGGATGTGATTCGAATCAGTGCGGTATTTTTCCATTTAGCTGCGCTTTTATTGTACTTGACTCTTAAATTTCCCGGTATGTCGCAAGCTGTAAAAATTTGTAATTGGTGTCATGGGTATAATTCTTTATCAAACAAATTTGTTATCCGTGCCTTGCCCCATTATGAATTGCTAGCTACATCAGTCATTGACAATGACGAAGGCTACAGAACTCCACAATATGGTCCTCTGGGCGCGCTCACTGCATTCATTATTACAGGCTAAATCGCCCAGGTGAGTTCCATCTCCCCTTCCCCCTCCCCTCTCCCTTGCTCCCTTCCTCTCTCCCAGCTCTACGGTACACCGGCTCTGAACACCCCCACCCCACCCTGTGCCGGCCGTTGCAGGTCGCCAGTCTGACTCTGTGGTCCATGGACAACTACGTCATCTACGCAGCCTGCATCTTCACCATATCGGTCATCTCCATCGGAGTCTCACTGTTCGAGACGCGGAAGGTGCGTGCCTCCCCGCCCCTCTCTCTCTCCTCTCTCTCTCTCTCTCTCTCTCTCTCTCTCTCTCTCTCTCTCTCTCTCTCTCTCTCCCTCCCTCCCAATCACATGACGGGGGAATCCCTCTGAGGACATCGGTCCGCCGCTCGTCCCACGAGTTTCCTGTTCTGTCTGGTGATGCCGGACGGAGCTGGATAACACGGGATGGACCAGCTGGGGCTTCAGGGGGAGGGTGTTTGTGGGTCAGGGGTGCTTTGTCGGACGGCACGGGCTGGAGGGGGTCAGATGTAACTCTGCTGGACGGCACAGGCTGTATAACGACTCTCGGCAGTAAACGACCCGGTTGGGCTTGCGTCTGCTGAGACTGAAAGGGGCACTGGGCGGCACAGGGTGGTTGGGGCTGACAGTATGGGGCTAGGGTGGTGAGGGTTTCTGGTTTATGGAATGTTAAGTATTGGAGGGAACAGCATGTTCATATTTATGTCGTTCTTCTATTGCTGTTTGGTTATTCCATGTAATTGAGCTAACTAATGCAGTTTTAGCACGTGCTTAAAGGGACCCTCCCACCTTAACATTAGATTTGAGTTGAGATAGCCAAAATGGGGTCCCTGGCTCACAATTACCGGTTTCGGCACTCACAACATCGAGAAATGCCTTAAATCGGAAATATTGAATTTCAAAATTGCAGCATTTTGATTCAGAGGGGCTAATGCATAGGAATACCCCTCTGAATGTGTGACGTGAGCGCAGATATCTAACGATTTTTAAATGTTTGACTAAAACGTTTTGTAGCACGCGATGGTATATGCTGCTTTGCGCGCAACAAATGCCGCACTTTCAAAAAAAGTCGCTAGGAACAGCGGAGATCCCAAAAAGTAAGCAAAAGTAAAAGTCAAATAATATCTTGAAAACCGGTGAATATTTTTCGATGAAATTTGGTAGATATTCGTTTTTGCTCTTTCTGAACCGAGCGACATCACTTTCATGATAATTCATTAACTTTTTTGAAGGTGGGAGGGTCCTTTTAAGTGAGATTTGATGAAGCAATGCAGCGATGTCGCTGTGTATTGCGATTCCATGCCGCCCGCATTTCCGTGTGTGTGGCTGTTGACGCATTGGCCCGCTGCCCTCTGTCCGGCAGCAAAGTGAGACCCTGCGGGACATGGTGCTGGCCTCTGCCGTCGGTACCGTCATGGTGCGACGAGACGACGGAGGTGAGTACTGTGTACCGCACACTGAACTGTACCGCATACTGCACTGTACAGCGTACCACATTGTACCGCACACTACTGTACACTACTACACAGTGTACCACACACAGCAACAACGTATCGCACACTGCACTATACCGCGCACTGCACTGCAGAGCGTACCGCACACTGTACCGCATAGCGTACCACAGTATACCACGTAGGATACCGAGTTATAGTACAGCAGCAGTGTATCACAAAGTGTATCACACTCGTCACACTAAGCGCACCACAAGGAGTCACACATCGGGAATACAGTTCATACTACACAGTACTACACAGCATACCGGCTTTCAGTGTACGTCCACACATCGTGATACCTCAGTGTGTTACCCATGACTGTACCTCACAGACTCACATGGTACCACACAAAGTACCGAATCATGTGCAGTTTACCGCAGGATGCTGCAACCCAGAGCAGCTTATCTGACGCAGTAAAACCATGCACATTATCCCAGGACCAGACACATAGGCTGATGCAAGTGTTGTCGTTGTCCAAAGATACAGCCTGCTGCATACACCTAACCCAAGGACATTTAGCGGTGAGGCTGGTCCATTCGTTCAGTTGTTTTCACATCTGCTGTGGCGGCAACACAATATCGGCATTATCTGCGAGTTTTTCGTACTCTAACGCGCCTCCTGCTGTAAGATAGTGTTTATTGCTGTACTGTTTTGTTTTTAGTGGGACCACAGCTGAAATTCCCAGCCGGAGCAGACGGTTCTCCTTCCCACATCTTAGGTTTGGGATGAATACGAAACTAAGGCCCGTGTTCGATGTTGTAGAGACGGTTAACCTTCCAGGCGGTTGGGGGGCATTTTTTGCCCCCTTTAGTTTTTTTCGATATATCTCGAGAACCGCTGCGCCGATCGTCACCAAACTTTCAGTACCCTCCCGTGAATAACTATTGCACATTGTGGCAAAAAATTTCCAAAGGCTATGATAGGTTGGACGCTAATGACGTCAGAATGACGTCATTTCTGCCATTTTCGACTCAAAAAAGGTTTTGCGAGAAGAGCTGTCAGGCCTACAGCTTTAGAGATACAGAAAAATGTTTCGGACATAAAAGGTGTAGAATTTACAGGACTACAAAACTGCTATCTCGGATTTTTGAAATTTTTGGATTTTGACCCCCCCCCCCCAAAAAAAAAATATTTTTTGAATATAATAGCCGAAAAATCCAAAATGTTTTTTGAATTTCGAAAAAAACCGGAAGATATGTGATAGTCCCCAGCGCCTTTTATCTACATACCAAATTTGAAATCGATACCTCTGTTTTTGGCCAAGTTATAGCGAAAAAACTTCAAAATTGATGACGTCAAATTTTCAAACTCAATTTTTAGCAATTCTAGACCTCGTAGCGCAAAAAAAAGACCACCATTAGACTCCCCGTGACAAGCTGCATTGAATCGATACCCATTTTATGCAAAAATATCAACTTTGAAATTTGACCTTTTTGACCTGACCTTGACCTGACCTCCACCAGAAAGTGACCTAAACCGTGCCTGATGGTCTTATAACCAACACCATTGAGTTGAAAATGAAAAAACTGGCCATAAAACATGCATCGCACAACCTTAGTAAAGTTGGGTTCATGTGGTGACCCTTGGTGACCTTTGGTGACCTGACCTGTGACCTGACCTGGTATGACCAGTGACCTCTAATAGCAACATATGTACTAGACAACTGATGCCCTATCGCTGATTTTCGACAAAATGCGTTTTACTCGGTGTTATGTTATAGCGCTTTCCCTAGAAGCACCGTGAACGGTGTAACATTTTATCTTTGACCTGACCTGTGACGTCATCGGTGACCCCCAGGTCAATGAAATTTGGTTTCCTTCGACAAATTCGACAGGGCTATCGAACGCCGTTTGAATTTTCCGGATCCGTCCAGTAGTTTCGAAGATACGGGGGGGGGGGCAATAAAATGCCCCCCCCCCCCACCGCGCGGAAGGTGGCCGGGAGGCCCACCGCCTGCCGGGTTAATGTGTACTCTTATCACCCCGTGTTCGGTGTTCCAACACGGTGGATGTGTGCTCTCTTCACCCCGTGTTCGAGGTTCCCAGACGGTGGAGGTATGCTCTCATCACCCTCTGTTCGGTGTTACAGAGACGGTGGAGGTGTGCTCTCATTGCCCCGTGTTCCAGAGACGGTAGATGTGTGTTCTCACCACCCCATGTTCGGTGTTCCCATAGGGTGGTGTGCTCCCTTCACCCCGTGTTCGGGGTTCCCAGACGGTGGATGTGTGCTCTCACCACCCTGTGTTCGGTGTTCCACAGACGGTGGAGGTGTGCTCTCACCGGTACTCGATGTTCCAGAGACGGTGGAGGTGTGCTCGGAGCGGCTGGTGCCCGGCGACGTCCTGGTGCTGCCGGAGAGCGGCTGCAGCATGGCCTGTGACGCCGTCCTGGTCACCGGATCCTGCATTGTCAACGAGTCCATGCTCACAGGTGCGCGCTGCCACCGGGTCGGTCGGACGGACGGGGTCGGGGAGGGGTTGGACAGAGGTCGGGTCAGACAGAATGGCGCGCCAGGGTCAGCCAGGAGGGAGAGTCCGCTTGAGCTTATGTCTTCGTATATTTGTCGACGGTGGAACTCAGATGACGGTCGATGCTGTATGGAGAATGTGGCGTTCCGGGTACTAAAACGCAGTTGCAGTGTAAAAGCTAGCTGACGACGGTGTAGCAGTCAGCTGACGGCGGTGTAACCGTCATCGGGGCCCCGTTTCATAAAGCGAGTCCGTAACTTACGCCGGTTTTTTGGTATTGTATTACAAGTGCATGTGAAGCGACGACAATAGTTTAAATCGTTGAATTTTTTTTATCTTGCAAGCAAGAACAGCAGGGAGAAGGGGAAATGAATTTATCGCTTCACATGCACCTGTAACACAAGACCAAAAACCGGCGTAAGTTACGGACTCGCTTAATTAAAGGTAGTGTGCCACCTTTGAAAGATTTCCCATTTTATTTTTCCTAGGATAAGAAGCTTCTGTTTTTACCTAATATCGCAAAGAAAATAAAAAATGGGCCTGGAATAGTGCCTTTTTCGCCTAAAAGTTAATCGGTTTTTCGATATGTATAACAACTGTAGTGGGCTGACCTGCAAACAGGCGTCGGCAACAATCGCGAATGCGGCGCACATGTGACAATAAGCAAAGGTCATTATAGAGTTACGACGTACGGGAATGAGTTCAGCTGTCTAATCGTAGACAACACAATGTCGAGCCTTAAACTGTAAGCCTGTATTGGTATTGTTTCTTTTATTTGGCTGTCAAACATTATTTATGGTTTGAAATATGATTTTATGTAAAATAATTGATATGAAAAAGCCGTCTCTTAAGTTATGACCCCATTTCACCACACGCAAGTGGCAGAAATGACAATGATCAGCTGACGCATTTTTCTTGGCCGAAGTCAGAGCGCGCGGCCCGACGCACCACCACCGCACCACAAAGTATGAGCAGAAGCCGCGCCCAAAGCCAGGGCCCCGGTAACGTGAGGTAGCCGAGTCGGGGCAGCGTGCGCTGACCCAAGCCGGGGCCGCAGCTTTGGGCGCGGTCTACCGCATCCCCGCGGGCAGCCCCGGGCTATCACATGACACCGGGAGGACGCGCGGCCCCGGCTTGGGTCAGCGCACGCTGCCCCGACTCGGCTACCTCACGTTACCGGGGCCCTGGCTTTGGGCGCGGTCTACCGCACCACCTAACAGGCGTGTTCGAAACCGCAGGAGATGATGATGAACGGATTTATCGAAACTTGATTGGATGAGCATATCGGTAATAGCGATTTCAGTGTGTGCATTTATTGTTCATAGTGGTGTGAAATGTGGTTGGGGTACGACCGACAACCCGTCGGGGCGAATTTCGCACTGGGGTACTCAAAATTTGAAGAATTTAAGACGTTTCCATGAGTTTTGAAGGTATGGATAAGTTCTAAAAATCCGGTTCTCCTTATCTGGGCCATTAACTCCATACGGTCCAGGAAAGCTGGCACACTACCTTTAAAGGTAGTGTGCCACCTTTGAAAGATTTCCCATTTTATTTTTCCTAGGATAAGAAGCTTCTGTTTTTACCTAATATCGCAAAGAAAATCAAAAATGGGCCTGGAATAGTGCCTTTTTCGCCTAAAAGTTTATCGGTTTTTCGATATGTATAACAACTGTAGTGGGCTGACCTGCAAACAGGCGTCGGCAACAATCGCGAATGCGGCGCACATGTGACAATAAGCAAAGGTCATTATAGAGTTACGACGTACGGGAATGAGTTATCAGCTGTCTAATCGTAGACAACACAATGTCGAGCCTTAAACTGTAAGCCTGTATTGGTATTGTTTCTTTTATTTGGCTGTCGAACATTATTTATGGTTTGAAATATGATTTTATGTAAAATAATTGATATGAAAAAGCCGTCTCTTAAGTTATGACCCCATTTCACCACACGCAAGTGGCAGAAATGACAATGATCAGCTGACGCATTTTTCTTGGCCGAAGTCAGAGCGCGCGGCCCGACGCACCACCACCGCACCACAAAGTATGAGCAGAAGCCACGCCCAAAGCCAGGGCCCCGGTAACGTGAGGTAGCCGAGTCGGGGCAGCGTGCGCTGACCCAAGCCGGGGCCGCAGCTTTGGGCGCGGTCTACCGCATCCCTGCGGGCAGCCCCGGGCTATCACATGACACCGGGAGGACGCGCGGCCCCGGCTTGGGTCAGCGCACGCTGCCCCGACTCGGCTACCTCACGTTACCGGGGCCCTGGCTTTGGGCGCGGTCTACCGCACCACCTAACAGGCGTGTTCGAAACCGCAGGAGATGATGATGAACGGATTTATCGAAACTTGATTGGATGAGCATATCGGTAATAGCGATTTCAGTGTGTGCATTTATTGTTCATAGTGGTGTGAAATGTGGTTGGGGTACGACCGACAACCCGTCGGGGCGAATTTCGCACTGGGGTACTCAAAATTTGAAGAATTTAAGACGTTTCCATGAGTTTTGAAGGTATGGATAAGTTCTAAAAATCCGGTTCTCCTTATCTGAGCCATTAACTCCATACGGTCCAGGAAAGCTGGCACACTACCTTTAAACGAGGCCCTGGCGGCGGTATAGTCATCTGCCGGCGCTGTAACCGTCATCTGACCGCTGCGCCGCCGTAGGGGAGAGTGTGCCGGTCACCAAGACCCATCTGACGGCGGTGTAGCCGTCATCAGGCCAGACCCGGGGGAGAGTGTCACTCCCTAACAATCCTGCCGCAGGGGAGAGTGTCACTCACTCCCTCACACTCCTGCCGCAGGGGAGAGTGTCACTCCCTGACACTCCTGCCGCAGTGGAGAGTGTCACTCCCTCCCACTCCTGCCGCAGGGGAGAGTGTACCGGTGACCAAGACGCAGCTAACGCAGCACGAGGAGGGCGAGCTTTTCTCGCCCGAGAGCCACCGGCGACACACGCTGTTCTGCGGAACAAAGGTCATCCAGACGCGCTACTACGGCAATACTCCGGTTAGTACCCGTCGCTACTACGGCAATACTCCGGTTAGTACCCGTCGCTACTACGGTAATACTCCGGTTAGTACCCGTCGCTACTACGGTAATACTCTGGTCAGTAACTATCACTACCACGGCAATACTCCGGTCAGTCACTGTCGGTACTACGGCAATGCTCCGGTCAGTAACTGTCGCTATTACGGCAATGCTCCGGTCAGTAACTGTCGCTATTACGGCAATGCTCCGGTCAGTCACTATCGCTTTTTGACGTTCGTTTTTGACGTAGTGGCGATATTCCGACAATTTTTTTTTTTGTCACCTTGACAGTGACACTCCTTTGATTGCCATAGTGAAAATAACCTGTCCAAAACTTACTTGACTAACAAGCTTTTCAACATCTAGTGCATATTATACTTTTTTACGTATTTGTAACGCCAGCGATGAATAACCCATTTTTATAGATGCTATGTGTGGTGATTGAATGTCAGTCACCAATGCCAGCCTTTTTTGTCAGGGCGCACGGAATAGTCAGGTGATGCGCTTGCCCGTTTGCCGTGTGTTTTGCTGTGTTGGGAATATTGTGGACGGAGCCAGGAAAAGACATCCATTCTCGTGTGTCTGTGTGCACGCGTCTGGAGGTTTGGTTACGAAGGGCGTGTGACTTTCGTACCTGCTGTGACCCCTTCGCTCAGTGCATGAACGACCTTGTTATCCTGGTTGGTCAATGGTCATTGCTCACAAGTGCAGGGGCGCGGGAACTACTTTCAGACTGGGGGGGGGGGGGGGGGGCACACCATGATAGAGATCAACCTAGGGTACCCCCAAATTTAGTTTTCTCGCCGGTTTTAGGCCACTTATTTTTCATCCCTTGGCTTTTTCAACAAAAAAGAAAACATTTGCAAAAAAGTGCGGTATTCCGTCTTAAAGTTGTGGGGGCACCGCCCCCACGGCCCTAAAGTTAGGGGGGCAAGCTGCCCCCACTGCCCCCCCGGTTCCCGATGCACAAGTGTGAAAAGAGGGAGAAGGATCCAAATTTACCGAGTCATGATTGAATTGAAGAGCTTCGTCGACCGCTCGACTGTGTTCCATCTGTGTCACAAAAGGCGGCAGTACCACAGGTGGTACTGGAGGCGCGTGTTTTTCCACGTTGTAGTCACATGCAGCTCATTTTGTCGATATCAGTCCAACTGGCACCTCCCATCTCACTCCGCTGACACTTGTATGGCGGGGCCGACTACAGGACGAATGTATAACACCTGTTGCAGCCGGGTACGATCTGCCGTGACGATATAAACATGTGTGAACTACGAGGTGTTCTCGGTTTATCGATCACACTGTATGCATTTGTATGGCTTGGCTGTTGGTCGGGTCTGAGAGGCACTGTTCTGATCTGACCCAGCCATCTGACCGGAGCGAAACCGATCATCTGATCTGACCCAGCATCTAACCGGAGCTAACCCGATCGTCTGATCTAACCCATCCAGCTAACCGGAGCTAACCCTATCGTCTGATCTGACTCCAACCGGCAGGTTCTCGCCGTGGTGATTCGAACCGGCTTCAGCACCGCCAAGGGGGAGCTGATTCGCTCCATCCTCTTCCCCAAGCCGATGGGCTTCAAGTTCTACAAGGACTCGATGAAGTTCATGGGCTTCATGTTCATGCTGTCGCTGATCGGCATGGTGTACACTGTGTACATGTACATCAGCAGAGGGGTGAGAAGCGACTGGGGCGGGTACCGGTGCCAGTCAGCAGCACCGGAACCGGAACATTTTGGCACTTCATTGATAAGGTTATGAGCCATTTCTACTGATGCAATGAGACAAGCACAGTTCGTTGCAGTGCGCTCTGTTCATCGAATTAGTTTGCCTAGACATTCAGTCAGAGTTTCACACATTTCTCGATAAATGTGGGGAGCGAACGTTGAAGCGAGGTTATCTGAAACCGAAATCGGGCACCGCCCCACCCACTGAACATATATATCATGCTCTTCACCCCGACCGTTACCCGCGACCCGCAGCACTGCATGTATGAACACCCTCCCCCGTCCCCCGGTCGCCGTCAGAACTCGCCACAGGTGACGGTGCTGCGCGCGCTGGACATCATCACCATCGTGGTGCCTCCCGCCCTGCCGGCCGCCATGACGGTCGGCACTGTGTACGCCCAGAACAGACTCAAGGTGGCCAGCATCTTCTGCATCTCGCCGCCGCGCATCAACGTCTGCGGCAAGCTGAAGCTGTTCTGCTTCGACAAGGTGCGGTATGCGGAGAGCCTGGCTGATCGGGGGGGGGGGGGAGAGGACCTTCCTGTGGAATCTAGATTTGGTGGATGTGTACGGTGGAAGGATGCAGGGAAGACGCTGGACGGTGGACGATAGATGTGGACTTTGAACGATGGACATTTATGGATAGTGGATGGTGGACGGGGTGATGGACGGTAGAGGTAAACAGTGGACAGTGGATGGTGAATTCTGTCCGGTGGCTGGTGGCTGGTGGATGGGTATTGTGAGTCAGAATAGGTACCCCAGTGGTGTACGACTCACCGTCCTGATCCCCGCCCCCGACAGACGGGCACGCTGACTGAGGACGGCCTGAGTATGTGGGGCGTGGTGCCCTGCGCGCCGGCCGGCTTCTCGCCCCCGGAGCGCGACGTCCGCGCGCTGAGCGACTCCAGCGAGCTGAAGGTGGCGCTGGCCTCCTGCCACGGCCTGACCCGGCTGGCTGGCCAGCTGATCGGCGATCCGCTCGACATCCAGATGTTCGAGGCCACAGATTGGGTGAGTACCGAGCCGCGCATGGCCTGGCCACGGCGCCTCGCTTTGTCGGCGCTATCCACCTTCTCATGAATTATCCTTGTATGTTTCAATTACCAATCGGACGCGACTTTGCTGCGGGCTATCAGCTGTCGACCCTCTCGCAGCTCGAGGGAGATCGCTCAACTGTCTGCAGAATCCGTGCTGCCGAACGCCTCAGTCATTTGTTGCTGCCTATAGCCATCGGTCACTTCAATGTGCTACATAAATCAGGAAGCAGTTAGGTTGCGATAACGGATTCAATAACTGAGATGGCTGTTCAGAGCTTAGACTCAGCCAACTTCATTTAATGTTTGACACAGGATAGTCGATAGTTGACCAAATAATTTGGAGCCACTTGGAAAAACTAAATGAAACAGGGAGCCTTCCCTTGAAAAGGTTGGGAGGACTACAAAGGAAAAAGAACGACCGTTTCAAAAAGAAGCGTCGGTATTTTTTCTGACGCGTTTAAGGCTGATGTCTACTGCCTGGATTGTCCAGCTTGCTTGGCGAGGCGTGACGCCCACTTACTGCATTGATTTGGTATGCTGCAGGTGTGTTGAGCCCTGCCAAATGGCCAGGTCGATATAATTGGCTCAGTGGGCCGTCGCCAGGAGGTGCCACATTGTACTGAGCACTCAGATGGCTTACACTGATTCGCTCCACAAAGTTAGGCTATGATTTTTTTTGTAATATGGCTGGCTACGTACCGTGGGTACTTATTTGCTTATTTTGTTTGCGCACGGCTCAATATGCAATGAGGAATCGTTTCGAAAACATACATTACTGCCTTGATAAATACATGTATAGTGCACGCACATTACTGCCTAGAAAGTGGTATGGTGACTGAATGAATGAGTCAGTATTGTAATGTTTCGATTAGGCCACGTACATACGCGCCGCCGAGTGGCAGAACTTTTTCAAGCTCTGTGTCAAACACTTCTTTGAACACGACCATCGGATCCAGAGGCGGTGCTGGGGTTAGACTAGGACTATGAATACCTTCCCTTTATATTGTTATTGGGAATTAGACGACATCCCAGCAAAATAGCTGATTTAATGTTCGCTCATCTCGACAACACCCTTATGGGATTTAAACTGAATTCATTGCTAGTCGCTACTCTATGCTTTGTGGCTACAGTTTATAGTTTATACATATTTTACGGCTGATATTTTGGGCTTGGTTACTTTAACTTAACATAGTTATTCGAGATTTAAAAAACCTTGGATATGTTATGTACTCTTATTTATTGACAGAAAGGCAAATAAGCAGCCATTGCGCTCCTAATAAGTTTCATGTTGCAAATCTTGTCACCTCTGCCCTAACTTGAAAGACCTTATATTGGCCCTATAAGTCCCTAAGACCTTTATGCCAGTGAAGACTTTCAAACCGCCGAGTAAAGTTGCAACGTTGGGTATTTGTTGTGAAAGCTTTTAAATTCCGCTTTTTAGCTCCGGTAAAAACTAATTGTAACTGAAGTGGAGCGGTGGACGAAGTTGCTACTTCTTCGGGAGCTCCGTGACCAGCTCCAGTCCGGTGCCTCCAAGGTTCTCCTCCATCCAAACGTCCATTTTCTGCGCCACCTCAGTGCTCAGGTGGTTCTTCCAGTCGCCCGTCTGGCCCTTCCTCATGAAGGCTATTCTTTCCCCACTGCTGTCTGTCTTTCGGTAGCCCATGTTCTCCTTGTTGACCCACTGGTTGTCCTTCATGCTTTCGAAGCTGAGGTGACGTTCGAGCTGCTCCAGTTGTTTTTCGGTCGGCTGCTTGCCGAGGTGGGCTGCCACGCGGTTGATGACGCCGCGAAGATCTTGCTTCATCTCCTCGAATGTGACAAACAGCATATTGGGGTGGTTCCGCTGTTTCCACGCCTGCAGAACATTCGAGAAGAAGGGCGTGCTGATGCAGCGACCGGCCATGTACAGCTCCGCGTACTGGTTGACTGCAGTTTCCGAACTCAGTGAATTATTGAGCTTCAGCATGTTGTAGAAGGCAGGGCTGCGGAGTCGATGGATTTTCGGCGACTCCGACTCCGACTCCGACTCCGGCTTTCAAAAACCAGCTCCGACTCCGACTCCGACTCCGGGCAGAATTGTCGACTCCGACCGACTCCAACTCCCGACTTTGACTCCGCAGACCTAGCAGGGCTGCGGAGTCGACAGATTTTCGGTGACTCCGACTCCGACTCCGGCTCGGGTTTCTAAAATCGACTCCGACTCCGACTCCGACTCCGACTCCGGTCACAACTGTCGACTCCGACCGACTCCGACTCCGACTCCGACTCCGACTCCGCAGCCCTGGTAGAAGGAGACGACGGCATCCTTGGGGTTCCTCGCGACATAGATCACCTGCAAAAGTGGAACACTCAGTAAAAATTGGAGTAGAGCTCTCATTCACGGACTGGTATGTTCATTTGCTCACTTCTTTTCGAAACGAAAATTACTGACGACGAACAAAACTCCAGAAAACGTGAAATGTCACGTTGCTGAGTTTTCATATATTTTAGGCCGTATTGTCGGTATTTTAACCCGCGCGGGGCTGGGGGGGGAGAAATTTTACCCCCCCCCCCTCGCGAATTTTTGCAATATCTCAAAAACGGCGTCGCGCAGCACCGCCAAACTTTCAGTACCTTTTCTTACATCAATTTGACACGTTCCCTGAAAATTTGGGCGAAATCCGTCGGATTTTTATTGAGAAATTGACGTTTTAGTGACGTCATGTTCGCCATTTTCGCCTCAAAAACGGCAAAAATTCAAACGCCGCTAACATCTTCATTTTTAAAGGAATCAAGACGTCACAAATAAGGTTATACGTAATTCTACTTTGTCTATCAAATGGCTATCTCGGTTTTTTGAAAATTTTGGATTTTGGCCCAATTTTTTCTAAAAAAACTGACTTTTTTGGGAAAATAATTATAAAATCCAAAATTTTGAGTGTATCGAAAAACCGGAATATATGTCAGAGAAGTGGTCTATGTGCACCTACATACCAAGTTTTAGAAGAATCGGTTCAAAAATGTGGTAGTTATTCAAAATTTTAAGACGTCACGACACACAAAAATTTTGAAAAATGATTTTTTTGGAAGTTCTAGACCTCGTACGGAAACAAAAATAGCACCATTCGATTCGCCGTGAAAAACTGCATCAGATTGACACCTTTTTAGGCCTTAACAACCAACTTCAAAATTTGACCTCACTTGACCTGACCTTGACCTGACCTCGACCTGAAATTCATCCAGAGGTGGTCCGTATCACTTATTGAGTGTGCTTATTGAATTCTATGAGTAAAATGACCCATAAAACATGTGTCGCACATGCCCTTTTCTATATTTTGTTTTTGGTGACCTGACCTGACCTGACCTGACCTTGACCTTGGCCTCTGAATGATATTGTATGCAACGAATATTGTCTTGGTAGCCTAAGAACACGTTTTGGGCAATCAGTCTCAGTCCATGACTCCATTCTTCGGCAACTACGGTGCAAGGCCGATACTGTAGGAACTTGCAATTTGTACCCTTGACCTGACCTTGACCTTGACCTCAAACCTTAAATTAAGTACATGTTTTTATTTGTTCGTGATGAGATCTTTCGATTGGCGTTTGAATTTTCCAAATCGGACCATTAGTTCGGGAGATAACAGGGGGGGGGGGGTAAAATTTACCCCCCCCCAGCCCCGCGCGTTCGGCTGGAGACCCCAGCCCCGCGCGGGTTAAAAGATAACTTAGCTTAATATTATCCAACGGAAATTCAACGGGTTTTGTTTCGCCCTATGATCGGATCGCTGCAACTGGCCTACCTTGCACGTGTCGAGCAGCGCTGGCGGCAGAAAGTTGAGCGGCAGATGGGTATTGATGTGCCAGGGCCGAGGCCGATCAGTGATGGGCATCATCATGCGGCTTCCTGAGGCGGTCATGGTCTCTCGCCTGCTCGGAGCTGCTAGCAACGGCATGTCCAGGAAGTGAGCGCGGTCGGGTACCAGGTAACTCTTCGCCGCCTCGAAGTCGCAGTCGTGGTTGACGAGCCAGGCCAGCTCAGACATCCAGGTGGTGCCTGTCATGGAAGGACGGAACAGTAGTTGGCATCTACGCGTGCAACGCTCTGTTCGACCGATATATGTAGGACAACATGTGGGACGCCCGATCGCAGATCTGTGCGAACTGCGTACACCACTAAAGCGACCGATATACATATGTAGGGCTACATGTGAGACGCACAACCGCAGATCTGTGCGAACTGCCTACACTACTAAGCCAAGCCATTTGTAAACGCGATGACCTAAGCCGCCTTTCGGTGACAGTTACCGATATACATAGCAACGGAGTGGTAATCTGTTTAATGTAATTTTTATCTGTACTTTGATATTGTCCTTGGAAATACCTTTGAATCTCTACACTCTTTTCAGTCTCATTAGGATTTTCTTTATTTTCAAGCATTATGTTAGTCGCATGCGCACTTGGAACGATCAACAGCTTTATTGAGTCTATTATTCCTTTATCGGCTACACCATAGATTGCCAATAAACAATCGTCCCATCATCATATGCTCATCTACATAGCAGGACACTGCTGATCTACATAGCTTCAGGCGTGATAGTGGTGTTTCTTACAACTGGCACTGCCCTTAACCTGCATGTCTGTGCACATACCTATACATAGTCATAGTCATAGTCAGTTTATATACATATGTGTCACTTGACAGTCATATAAAAAATGTCACAAAGTGCTACGGTCAAAATGACTGTAGAAGGCGAGACATCGATGTCCTGCACCAGGAGAAGCAATGTGACTTTCGCTGGACGGATGGCCCAGTCACTAGACCGACTGCGCATCTCCAAGAGAAGCTGTCTGAAATTGTTTGAACTCCAATTCTGGGAGCTCTGAAGTGTTCAGTTTCTCGGAAATGTCGCACTTATTGATATAAGCCAATTCGGGAATGGAAGGCTATTTACTTATGCTTCAAGGGCACAAGTGGGTAGTTTGGAAGACTTTTGGGCGTTAGCCGTTAATATACATTTCCCACGATCAACGGGTTAACGAAGTCGCTACTTCTGCGGGAGCTGCGTGACCAGCTCTAGTCCGGTGCCTCGAAGGTTCTCCTCCATCCAAACGTCCATCTTCTGCGCCACCTCGGCACTCAGGTGGTTCTTCCAGTCGCCCGTCTGGCCCTTCCTCATGAAAGCCCGTCGCTCTCCGGTGCTGCTATCTGGTTTTCGAAAGCCCAGATTCTCCTTGTTGACCCACTGGTTGTCCTTCATGCTTTCGAAGCTGAGGTGACGTTCGAGCTGCTCCAGTTGTTTTTCGGTCAGCTGCTTGCCGAGGTGGGCTGCCACGCGCTTAATGACACCGCGCAGATCTTGCTTCATCTCCTCGAATGTGACAAACAGCATATTGGGATGGTTCCGCTGTTCCCACGCTCGCAGTACATTCGAGAAGAAAGGTGCACCGAAGCGACGGCCAGTCATGTACAGCTCGGCGTACTGGTCAACCGTCAGCTCAGGACTCAACGTATCGTTGAGCTGCAACATCTTGTAGAGGGAAACAACGGCGTCCTTGGGGTTCCTGACCACGGAAATCACCTGAAAGAGTCAGGGGCTGCATCAAAGTCTGAAATTGCAATTGCAGAGTGAGCATTGAAATCGATGTCTACAGATAAAGAGATTCTCCTTGGCAGATACAAGCGCATCGTTAGTACAGACAAGGCAAGGCGAGCTGTCTATTGTCTGATGTTCGGCTTATTATATTTTATGATGAGCTGAAGTGTATGAGATTTTGAATATCCTGTGGTTGAATAATCTTCGGATCAACGTTTCGAGCGCCCATGCAAAGTTTTGGCCAAGGGAACTGAGAAACATTTGCCTTCGCTGGCGGACCACCATCCACTTACCTTGCACGTGTCGAGCAGCGCTGGCGGCAGAAAGTTGAGCGGCAGGTGGGTCTGGATGTGCCAGGGCCGAGGCCGATCAGTGATGGACATCACCATGCGGTTGCCGGCAGCCACCATGGCCTCCCGCCTGCTGGATGATACGAGCAACGGCATGTCCAGGAAGTGGGCTCGGTCTGGTGTCAGGTAGGCCTGCGCCGCCTGGAAGTCGCAGTCGTGGTTGACCAGCCAGGCCAGCTCAGACATCCAGTTGGTGCCTGCCATGGAAGGACGGGAAATTGGCTAGCGACTCCGGGCACTAGACAATCTGCAACGCTTCGTGGAAGGATGTTCGTTGAATCAGCGCAGGACACGAGGCCATCAAAGCTAAGATAGGCATACCTGGTGTTCCTTCCAATGAAGACGCTATCCTTTTCGAGCTACATAAAGGCAAAAGTACCCAAAATCTGAGTACATCAGATGTGTGTTTTTTAAGCTACCCGCGATTGGTTGTTTAGTCCTAATCTGGTACAGACATATCTATAATAGCCACACATATTTAAATAGCAGCATGTTAAGAAGTGCCTTCAATGTTTCGACACAGCCTACGAAGCGGGTGAACGAATAGTGTGGGCCCTAAGAAAGATCCTTGTGGGACTCACTCAAGCACACTATTCAGTAGCATTTTGTGGCATTCAATAGGCACTTCATGTTGCTGTTATTGATCATCAGCTTTTATATTTTATTCGTGCAGTGTCCTAGCGGAAAACAATGAAGGGATGTTTAATATGTATTTGAAGGAAAGATGATTATCCTCGTACAAAAAGTGAAACAGCAACATATAAAAGGTTCAAAATTTTAGCATGCTTCACCTTTTAGGTGAACCATAGTTTTCTTGAATCTATAATTGCTGGTGTATCTGCGATTGTCAATGTTTTGAATTGGGCCTTCTGAATTATAAGTCGTCGTGTTTTTACAAATAACAGTCGAGGAATGTTCTGTAGATAGATATGTATTGAAGACCCATAAGGCAGGTCAGTAGCATCTGCAAAAACTTGCTCTGATATTTCCCAGTTTGATTCGCGGAGCTTCGAGCCTCAATTTTAGACCCCTCGGGAGTTTTGCTATCCTGTTCTGATATTTGTGGTTGCTCAGACTTTTCTAGATCACGATTCAGGAGGCCAGAATGAGTTTGATGGTTGAATGGCGGTTTGAACGGTTCAGAAGTTGAAGAAGTCTTTACTTCTGCGGGAGCTCCGTGACCAGCTCCAGTCCGGTGCCTCGAAGGTTCTCCTCCATCCAAACGTCCATCTTCTGCGCCACCTCGGCACTCAGGTGGTTCTTCCAGTCGCCCGTCTGACCCTTCCTCATGAAGGCCTGACTCTCTCCGGTGCTGCTGTATGTTTTCTTGAATCCCATGTTCTCCTTGTTGACCCACTGGTTGTCCTTCATGCTTTCGAAGCTGAGGTGACGTTCGAGCTGCTCCAGTTGTTTTTCGGTTAGCTGCTTCCCGAGGTGGGCTGCCACGCGGTTGATGACACCGCGCAGATCTTGCTTCATCTCCTCGAATGTGACAAACAGCATATTGGGGTGGTTCCGCTGTTTCCACGCCTGCAGAACATTCGAGAAGAAGGGCGTGCTGATGCAGCGATCGGCCATGTACAGCTCGGCGTACTGGTCGACCGTCAGCTCCGGGCTCAGCGTTTTGTTGTTTTGCAACATCTTGTAGAAGGAGACGACGGCATCCTTGGGGTTTCTGACTACGTACATCACCTGTGAAATCGGTTCGATCGGCGTCAGAGTCGAAAAATGCTCACGCAAGTTTCTCTTTTATCGGTGGTATGCAAACTCAATGGTGCTTCAATTCGATATCTGACGATTGAATGAATTTTTAGGATATAGGCGATAGGGGTTTTGTGGCTGAACTTTTTATATTTATTTTGTCAATGTCGGACCTTGGGGATATGAAGACGTATACCGTTTCTGACAAGCTACAAGTCGCCTACCTTGCACGTATCGAGCAGCGCTGGCGGCAGAAAGTTGAGCGGCAGGTGGGTCTGGATGTGCCAGGGACGAGGCCGATCAGTGATGGGCATCACTATTCGACTGCCAGCGTCGACCAACGCCTGACGTCGGCTGGGCGACGCCAGTACGGACATGTCCAGAGAGTGTACGCGGTCGGGTACCAGGTAACTCTTTGCCGCCTCGAAGTCGCAGTCGTGGCTGATGAGCCAGGCCAGCTCAGACATCCACGTGGTGCCTGCCGCGGAAGGACCGAACAGAGGCTAGCGACGGCGACGGAACGGTATGCGAAAAAGAGACTAATGAAAGGAACATAGGTACTCTATGTGAAGGCATCTTTCGTTGAATGTTGCTACCCGAGATGTGTTTTCGATTCTTTGATAACTGGAGTCCATACTATCATCTCAATCTGGCTTTTTCAGGATGGAAAATATCGGCGCATTTTGAGCTTGCACGAATGGTTGTAACGCTTTGTAATTGGATTGTTTCTTGAATTTATGACCGCTGATGTGAGTGCTTACAGGGCATTGCAGTAGTCATCGTCCACGATCCCAGTTGTCATGTTTTCCAAATGTTTTCCTGTGTTACTTGTATTAACTACAAAAGAACAGTCTAGTATAATGCTAACAGTTAACACATTGGTTGATGTGAGACAGACAAGCCCGGCTAGGGTGTATTTAAACTCTCACATCGCTTTTCCTTCTCACATCTTTTTACAAAGCTGCACATGTTCTGCACCATCAAAGCATTCTGAAGAGATTACATCGCGTTTCGGACAGAACTGAAGAACGGAACCCGGGGAGTGTGGCCATTGATGTTTGTACTGTAGAATGCCGAAGGCAGGCTGGCGCTCGGACGAGGCTCGAAAGAAGCTGCCATGAAAGGAATTTGGGTTCTCTGGAGTGCGCAGCTTCTCTGGAGCTTTTGCCTCCGGGCCATTTCTGAGTCGTGGAAGTTGGTGCGTCTTTCTTTACACTCCTACAGTACTGATTGATTGTTGAGATTGGCGGGTGTACAGAAGTATGGAGTTGGCGCAGGTCTGTAGTTGGCAGAGTCGCTACTTCTTCGGGAGCTCCGTGACCAGCTCCAGTCCGGTGCCTCGAAGGTTCTCCTCCATCCAAACGTCCATCTTCTGGGCCACCTCAGTGCTCAGGTTGTTCTTCCAGTCGCCCGTCTGACCCTTCCTCATGAAGGCTTGGCTCTCTCCTGTGCTGCTGTCTGTCTTCCGGTAGCCCAGATTCTCCTTGTTCACCCACTGGTTGTCCTTCATGCTTTCGAAGCTGAGGTGACGTTCGAGCTGCTCCAGTTGTTTTTCGGTTATCTGCTTCCCGAGGTGGGCTGCCACGCGGTTGATGACACCGCGCAGATCTTGCTTCATCTCCTCGAATGTGACAAACAGCATATTGGGGTGGTTCCGCTGTTTCCACGCCTGCAGAACATTCGAGAAGAAGGGCGTGCTGATGCAGCGATCGGCCATGTACAGCTCGGCGTACTGGTCGACCGTCAGCTCCGGGCTCAGCGTTTTGTTGTTCTGCAACATCTTGTAGAAGGAGACGACGGCATCCTTGGGGTTTCTGACTACGTACATCACCTGTGAAATCGGTTCGATCGGCGTCAGAGTCGAAAAATGCTCACGCAAGTTTCTCTTTTATCGGTGGTATGCAAACTCAATGGTGCTTCAATTTGATATCTGACGATTGAATGAATTTTTAGGATATAGGCGATAGGGGTTTTGTGGCTGAACTTTTTATATTTATTTTGTCAATGTCGGACCTTGGGGATATGAAGACGTATACCGTTTCTGACAAGCTACAAGTCGCCATAGGCGGTCCCAGGGGGGGGGGGGGGACACGGGGGCCATGGCCCCTCCTTTGGTGCTGAAAGGTGGGGCCATACTGTCTTTTGGCCCCACCTTTCAGATCGAACAAAAGTCCTAGAAAAAACTTTTTGTATGTTTCATTTTCTTTCTTGTGCCATCAAAGGACGTAAAGTTCACTCATGAGTGGGCTCAGTTTCGCATTCTGTCAATTTGGCGGTCAGGGTCGCTGGCACCGGTTCACGAGTATGGCCGGATCTTACGAGTAGGTATATGGAATATCAGCGTGGGTTTACTTGAGGGTCTGGCTGGCATGAGACCCTCTTCGGCAGTGGCGGGTGGGCCCTGCCAAATGAGCGTGGCTCTACGACACTAAAGTAAGACCTCAGGGGTTGGTGCAGTGCACCTCAGAAGCCCGGTGGTGACGCCGTATGCCGGCTTGGTTTCTTAAGGATTAGCGTGGGACCTCCGGGGCCTGCATAGAGTTTGCATGAGCTAGTATATAATCTCAGAGGCATGTGTGATGTGTACACAGTGGCGGTCGCGGGGGGGAGGCATCAGGGCCATGCCCCCCCCCCCAAAGGCCAATAAAGGGGGCCATCATATCATTTGCCCCTCCCCCTCAAACAACCAATGGGCCCCCATAGGTGTATGGGGCCCTGGCCCTTTTTCGATCGTCACGAGGCTCAAAAACCCACGCCCAGCTATTAATATAGCTCCAACACCGGTCTTCGAGCGTCCTACACTGACCTCTGAGGGAACTTCAGTGACGGTCAAGCGCCCACGTTGACCGCTAAAAGCCCAGATCAACCTCTGAGGCCACACATCTGGCCTATGAGGGCCCCTAATCGGCTTCAGGGGCCCCAACCGGCGTCTGAGGGTCTCACACCGGTCTCTGGTGGCCTTATTTCTGTCTCTGGTGTCCCAAGACGACCATTTAGGTGCCAGTGAGGGCCCCGCATTGGCTGCTGAAGACCCGATGCCGGCCTCTAAGGGCCTGCATTGGCCTCTGAGGACGGCCCATCTTGGCCTCTGAGGGCCCTCTGTTGTCCTCTGGGGTCCAACGACGGCTCATGCCGGTCTTTTAGGGCCCCACGCTGACCTCTGAGGGCCCCATGTTGGCCTGTAATGAGTAAGGACCCACATTAGCCTCTGAGAGCCCAACTCGGTCTCTGATGGTCTCAAACTATTGGCCTTTGCAGTTTGCAGGCCCTGTACTGGTCTCTGAGGGCCCTAAACTGGCCTCTACGTGAAAACATACGAGTACATGGGTGGGTTTCTGAAGATCACAGGGCTCACGCACACTCCGGCACAGCCTTACGTTGGTCCTGATCGAGATTACTTTACATCATGATGGTCCCGCGCAGATTCCCTCATATTTCTACGTCGGGACCCCATGAGCCGGTGTGGGTCCTGGGGCTGGCAGAGAGTGAGAGACTAATGAAGTCCTTAGGGTTCAGGGCCAGTCTTTTTAGCAGTAGGACTATACAGGTTGAGTGAGCCCCAATAGAGCCGTTGCGAAGCCCCGCAGGAGTCGCGCGCGACCCTCATATGCCAATTTTGAAAGCTCGGAACCTGTGGGGGTCTCCAGAGGTCGGTGTACCTACTCTATCCCGCCGCCACACGACTATATGGGTAAATGTCATAGTCTGAAAATGCTCTCTGGGTTTCACATGCTTGTTCAAAGCAAGAGGTATCTGTACTTTTCCGAATTGTTTTATAGTTGTAAGGTCATGAATCCGCGTGCCCGACCTTCCAGTATATATGCTATAATGCTACACCGATCCGTCGTCATGGTGCAGTGGCCCGACTGGTGGAAACCCCGTGGGACGGAAAATGGAACTGGTCATTTTGCCTTAAATTGAGCTTAAAGATTTCACGCAAGAATGAGATGGATAAAGCATAAGTAATGCCAACTGCGCGGCGCCTCGTGGACGTAAAAAAATTAGCCGATCACCCCCCCCCCCCCTCCCGGTGACGGATAAATGTTATGTCCCGCGAGTGTGACTTTGGCCCCCCCTTTTGCTAGCGGCTGCGACCGCCAGTGCAAGTCGCCTACCTTGCACGTGTCGAGCAGCGCTGGCGGCAGAAAGTTGAGCGGCAGGTGGGTCTGGATGTGCCAGGGACGAGGCCGATCAGTGATGGGCATCACTATTCGACTGCCAGCGTCGACCAACGCCTGACGTCGGCTGGGCGACGCCAGTACGGACATGTCCAGAGAGTGAGCGCGGTCGGGTACCAGGTAACTCTGCGCCGCCTCGAAGTCGCAGTCGTGGTTGACGAGCCAGGCCAGCTCAGACATCCACGTGGTGCCTGTCATGGAAGGACGGAACAGAGGCTAGCGACGGCGACGGAACGGTACGCGAAAAAGAGACTAATGAAAGGAACATACTTTCTGTGAAGGCATCTTTCGTTGAATGTTGCTACCCGAGATGTGTTTTCGATTCTTTGATAACTGGAGTCCATACTATCATCTCAATCTGGCTTTTTCAGGATGGAAAATATCGGCGCATTTTGAGCTTGCACGAATGGTTGTAACGCTTTGTAATTGGATTGTTTCTTGAATTTATGACCGCTGATGTGAGTGCTTACAGGGCATTGCAGTAGTCATCGTCCACGATCCCAGTTGTCATGTTTTCCAAATGTTTTCCTGTGCTACTTGTATTAACTACAAAAGAACAGTCTAGTATCATGCTAACAGTTAACACATTGGTTGATGTGAGACAGACAAGCCCGGCTAGGGTGTATTTAAACTCTCACATCGCTTTTCCTTCTCACATCTTTTTACAAAGCTGCACATGTTTTGCACCATCAAAGCATTCTAAAGAGATTACATCGCGTTTCGGACAGAACTGAAGAACGGAACCCGGGGAGTGTGGCCGTTGATGTTTGTACTGTAGAATGCCGAAGGCAGGCTGGCGCTCGGACGAGGCTCGAAAGAAGCTGCCATGAAAGGAATTTGGGTTCTCTGGAGCGCGCAGCTTCTCTGGAGCTTTTGCCTCCGGGCCATTTCTGAGTCGTGGAAGTTGGTGCGTCTTTCTTTACACTCCTACAGTACTGATTGATTGTTGAGATTGGCGGGTGTACACAAGTATGGAGTTGGCACAGGTCTGTAGTTGGCAGAGTCGCTACTTCTTCGGGAGCTCCGTGACCAGCTCCAGTCCGGTGCCTCGAAGGTTCTCCTCCATCCAAACGTCCATCTTCTGGGCCACCTCAGTGCTCAGGTTGTTCTTCCAGTCGCCCGTCTGACCCTTCCTCATGAAGGCTTGGCTCTCTCCTGTGCTGCTGTCTGTCTTCCGGTAGCCCAGATTCTCCTTGTTCACCCACTGGTTGTCCTTCATGCTTTCGAAGCTGAGGTGACGTTCGAGCTGCTCCAGTTGTTTTTCGGTTAGCTGCTTGCCGAGGTGGGCTGCCACGCGGTTGATGACACCGCGCAGATCTTGCTTCATCTCCTCGAATGTGACAAACAGCATATTGGGGTGGTTCCGCTGTTTCCACGCCTGCAGAACATTCGAGAAGAAAGGCGTGCTGATGCAGCGATCGGCCATGTACAGCTCGGCGTACTGGTCGACCGTCAGCTCCGGGCTCAGTGTTTTGTTGTTTTGCAACATCTTGTAGAAGGAGACGACGGCATCCTTGGGGTTTCTTACCACATAAATCACCTGTGGGAACGGTTGGATCGGCGTCATAATCGACAACATGAATACTCCTTTTATGGCAGCGTGGGACAATGAAAACTGCCGTTTGTGTCGCTAAATCGTTGCATTTTTTAAGATGGCAAGCTAAATTGAACGGTGAGTTGTGCTTCGTGTTTTTTATGAGACTGACAGTCATCGGCACTGATACTGAAACATTCGAGCATTATGCGTCGAACGTGGCTTTGAACTGGACTAGGGCGATAGCTGTATTGGGTATAATGAGGGTAACTTGCCTTGCACGTGTCGAGCAGCGCTGGCGGCAGAAAGTTGAGCGGCAGGTGGGTCTGGATGTGCCAGGGCCGAGGCCGATCAGTGATGGGCATCATCATGCGGCTTCCGGAAGCGGTCATGGCCTCTCGCCCCCGGGGTGACGCCAGAACCGGCATGTCCAGGAAGTGAGCGCGGTCGGGTACCAGGTAACTCTTTGCCGCCTCGAAGTCGCAGTCGTGATTGACGAGCCAGGCCAGCTCAGACATCCATGTGGTGCCTGCCGCGCAGGGAAGACGTCAGAAGTGCTGGATATGAGACTCAATGTCACCTGTCTGATGGACTTTGGGTGCGTCCTCTTCATCCAGCAAGTCTCGTCAATTGCCGGACCAGAAGCAGCGGAACGGTGTAGGAGGCTAATGCGAATGGAGTACCGACCTTTGGCAAATATTTGTGAGAATATGCTGAGGCGCACTCATCTGTCATCAATATGTAATATGCCGGTGTACCCTGTTAATGGTTACGGGATAAGTGAGCATGCATATCACATTTCATGTCCCTGAAAAATCGGAATTTCGGCCTTTTGAAATACCATTCATACATACCTCAAGGTCCAAGCATGAACCAAGCGGAAAAGTAACCACGCAGGTTCAGTATCCATGTCATGCCTACGGGCTAAGAGTCTCTAATTTTGCTATTACAATTATAGCTTATCTAAGATCGCCTTTTCATCAACCTGCCACATCTTTAATTTCCTTGGTTCTTAGTGCTTTTGGATCCTAATGCCAGTGCCAAAGGCTGTCCGCTATTGGACATATCACAATCGTAACAAAAACAAGCCGCGAGTGACATAAAAAGCTCGTGTGACCTCCAGTCACCGTCGATCGGTGGTGTTGCGCGGCGGCAAAAACGGCTGCCTGTTGCGCGCGCTCGACTCCAGTGCGATGCTGAGCTCAACTGGTGGGGTCCGGCGACCCAACTGCGCGCTCACAGAGGCAGGAAGTGGGCGAGATAAGGAGGGGAAGAGAGAGGGAGCGAGGGCCACTTGGAGACAGGGTCAGAAGTTCAGAACAGACAGGAACAGAGACAAAGGGAGGGCGGGTTGAGGAAAGACAAGGCCACTAGAGTGCCGTGCGAGAGCGTCCTAGTGCAGGTTTAATGATGACTGCACTGACAAAATAAGCACTGTTTTTTTTATGGGAAGACAGTTGTAGGGAGGGAGGGCAAGGCATCAATTACATACTCCACAAGACATGAGCTGGATTTGGATGGGGCAGCATAACTGGAGTGGACGGTGGCTGACAGCTGTCGAGGCATGGCAGTGTTGGGTAATGGATGCACCATCCACTGAATGACCAAAAGCAGCGGCTGTCGGTTACGTAATGATCAGGTTTACAGAGGTCGGGCAGTTACCATGACCGGCCACTCGACAGTACCTGCGTACTATGGCCCAGGCAGAGTTCGATTCATTTCTCCCGGGTAGTGTATGCGAACTCGATATGAGCTATTGCCATTGCATTCACTGTTGTGAAACGAGTGGTACGGTTTTGATTTCCTTACGGCGTGTATCCCGCTTCAAATAACGAAAGCCTGCTGCAAACCATGCGCAAAAACGCACTACGGTATTTGTTGTGCAACCAGTCTCGCTATTGGCGTGCCGCTCGACTTTTCAGTGTAGCTTGCCGTTCCGGAGACCGGCCCCGCGAGTAAACAGTGTGCAGGATGAGGCCTGCGCCATTGCGTTACGTAAACGTTCTCAGACCTCACACATTCGCCAGTGATGCTGCACAACCGGCCGTGTTTGTCGTATGGGGGGGGGGGGGATCGCTTCCATGACAAAATATCGAAACGCAAAATATCGAAGCGCAAAATATCGAACGCAAATTATCGAAAGCAAAATATCGAAGTCGCAAATTATCGAAATCGCAAAATATCGAAATCGCAAAATATCGAATTGCAAATTATCGAAATCGCAAAATATCGAAATTGCAAAATATCGAATCGCAAAATATCGAATTGCAAAATATCGAAATCGCAAAATATCGAATAGCATAATATCGAAAGCAAAATATCAAAACGCAAACTATCGAAACGCAAAATATCGAAAGACAAAATATCGGAAGACAAAATATCGAAAGACAAAATATCGAAAGACAAAATATTAAAAGACAAAATATCGAAAGACAAAATATCGAAAAGGCAAAATATCGAACGCAGAATATCGAAAAGACAAAATAGCGAACGCAAAATATCGAACAGACAAAATATCGAACGCAAAATATCGAAAAGGCAGAATATCGAACGCAGAATATCGAAAAGGCAAAATATCGAACGCAAAATATCGAACAGACAAAATATCGAACGCAAAATATCGAAAAGGCAAAATATCGAACGCAAAATATCGAAAAGGCAAAATATCGAACGCAAAATATCGAAAAGACAAAATAACGAACGCAAAGTGTCGAAAAGGTAAAATATCGACTTGAAATGGCCCTCTGCGGACTCCTTAGAGCTCTGTCGAACTCATCGGGCCCTCTGTTATCTGTAGGCCTCAAAGAGCAATCAGCGGGTCCATGACAGACTTGGAAAACTCTGATATTTTTTGTAGATCTCAGCAGTGGCGGCGGAAGGTAATTTCGGATGGGGGTGCAAAGTTTTCTCAAGGGGCCCCTCTGGAAGCTTCGCCCCCCCCCCGATATTTTTAGTGTTTATCATTGCTTTATGAAAAACGAAGATTTTGGAAAACTATCCCCAAAAACACGACGCAGTGAAATTAAAATGATGTTAACCCGCGCCTGACTGGGGTATATTCCATAACACAACTGACTGGGGGGGCTATTTGGAGCCCCCCCCCCCTCCTATCTCCGAAGCTACTGGACCGATTTTCAAAACTCAAACGGTGTTTGATAGCAGTGGCGGATCCAAGGGAGGGCAAATAGGGCAATTGCCCTCCACAAAGGACATCATTTTTAGCATTACGTCTATGGCAGTGCATGAAAAGAAACAATAAATTGTGATGTTTTGCCCTTCCCAAAACTCTGGGTTGGATCCGCCTATGTTTGATAGCCCTGGAAGATCTGTCGAGCGAAACCTAATTTCGACAGAGTTCGACAGAGCTCTAAGGAGTCCGCAGAGGGCCATTTCAAGTCGATATTTTACCTTTTCGACGCTTTGCGTTCGTTATTTTGTCATTTCGATATTTTGCGTTCGATATTTTGCCTTTTCGATATTCTGCGTTCGATATTCTGCCTTTTCGATATTTTGCGTTCGATATTTTGTCTGTTCGATATTTTGCGTTCGATATTTTGTCTTTTCGATATTCTGCGTTCGATATTTTATCTTTTCGATATTCTGCGTTCCATATTTTGCCTTTTCGATATTTTGTCTTTCGATATTTTGTCTGTTCGATATTTTGCGTTCGATATTTTGTCTTTTCGATATTCTGCGTTCGATATTTTGTCTGTTCGATATTTTGTCTTTCGATATTTTGTCTTTCGATGTTCTGTCTTTCGATATTTTGTCTTTCAATATTTTGTCTTTCGATATTTTGCGTTTCGATATTTTGCTTTCGATATTATGCTATTCGATATTTTGCGAGTTCGATATTTTGCAATTCGATATTATGCAATTCGATATTTTGCGATGTCGATATTTTGCGATGTCGATATTTTGCGGTTCGATATTTTGCGATTTCGATATTTTGCGCATTCGATATTTTGCTTTCGATCTTCTGCCACTTCGATAATTTGTCTTCGATATTTTGCTATTCGATATTTTGCTTTTCGATATTTTGTCCGGAACCCGGGGGGATCATGGGTTTTGTCGAGACTACCGCGCCAGTCGTCTTGTTTGTTCGGTACCGTAAAAAAACCGCCAACTACACCTTTATCTGGAACTTTCACACATAGTTTGAGCCACCTGGCGCGATAGCGATGCTCACCGCATTTGGGCGGTGTCAGCAGCCACAGGTCGTCGGCGTGCAGCGGCGTCTGGTAGAGCTTCTGCAGGATGGGCAGCGCGTCTGCGCTGTACACCACTCGGTCCGGCCCGAACATGGCCAGCCCGTGCTGCCGGTAGCTGGGGAACGCGGCGTACACGGCCTCCTCCGAGGCCGGGATCGGCTCGCCGGTGAACGGGAACTCCATGGCGGCCGGACGAGCGGTGCTCTCTCTCTCTACTGTCAGTCCGCTCCCGTACCCTCCGTGACGACTCCCGGCGCACGACTGGGCCCCGCGCCGTCCCTGCTGCCGCCCGGTCCGGTCCGACTCTGGAGCCCTGCGGGTACCCACAGCCAGCTGTCCGTCGCGTGCCGGTCCCGCGTAGGGCTTCTGCCGCGCCGGGATCTCGGACCAGCCACAGTCGACAAACAACCTTGAACGGATGGCCACCGTCAAACCAACCGCTAGATGGCGCGCACAGCGCTGCCGGGCGATCCGTTCATTATAAATGGATGGGAAACAGCAACGAACAAATGTGTGCTAAAGTGTAAAGCAAATAACGCGACTACTTTCACTGGAATTCTTGAAGCTTCTCTTACGTAATATGATCGGAGGCCGGCTCCTGCATGAGTGCATAGGCCTACCTACCCGTAGGTACTAACGGCAGGGGCGGGTGCATTATCGCCCCCCCCCCTTTGTTGTAGATCCCGAAACCTACCAAACTGATTTCCAAACATTCAAACCCCAATCGATAGCTCTCCACCTGTTGTACCAAATGTAGGTACAGCAATAGTGTCTGATTCATCACTCTGTCACTTTTGTCAGTTGATTTTAATGCTACTAGTGTTATGCAATACAGACCACGTAGTAAAATAAAACGCATGGAACTTACCTATCTGCAAAAAAAAAACAAAACAAAAAAAAAACAAAAAAACAGGCGGCTGCAGTTTTGCAGTTGCGAAGGCAGTGTGACAGCCCTGTAATTTTTGTCATCTCATGCAAATAAATTTGTTCTAGCTAAAAAATATAAAAATATAATATGCCGAAGCTCAAAAACGGCTCTGTTATAGAGCGATCACCGTAAGTCCATGTCATTCATCAAAATTGGCCAAACATGGCGTCGCCATGACGTCATTTCCGACCCAGCTATGACAGCTGCGCATCTGCGCATTTTCTTTTAAACACAATGTGATATAAGTGGTCCCTGTGTGTACCCAGTTGCTGTCTCAAAGTGTTAAGTTACGTCTATGGGATTTGTAGATACCAACTCTGCTGCACACCGTGTTGTACGCATGCCCCGCTGATCTCCGCCCGACACATCCGAACCCATGTCTCCCTTCGTCACTTCATATCCCTCCATTCCCTTCATCACACCATCACACAAAGACACGTACGGTGGGCTGAAATATATTTAAACAGGCCGAGAAGGTAAAACGTCAATGGTTGAACAGGGGCTCCGCCACGGTTTTGGGATTGGGGGGGGGTCCGACCCAAAACACAAAACCTCACTGGCGTATCCAGGGCGAATTCATCCCCCCCCCCCCGCAGCGCCCGTAATCGATGAAAAAATGCCGCTTTTCTACAGTACAAAGACAAGTTAACAATTTTAATGGAAAAATTTTTGCTGTAAGCTGCAAAACCAAGGTTGAAATTGCATAAGGAATCGACAACCGAGAAGCGGAGCCCATTGGCACAGACATAGCGGCCTCTAAAATCAAAGTTCTTGAGGGATTGAGACCGCTGTTGCGCGCTCCAAGGGCGCTATTAGCCATCAAACAACGCATTGGCCTCTCAGTGACTGGCATTGGCTTAGGAAGGGACCTACATACATAGGCCCTCAGATATCTATGTATGCTTTAAGGCCAGTTTAGGGTCCTTCAAGGCCGTACTTAAAGGAAAGCGCAGTGCTTTAGTTTTTGTATGGATTTAAAAGCCCTGCCCTCACAGTAGCGGCGGAACACCTTCAATGAAGGGGGCACTGCCGACTTTTGGTCCCATTCTTTCCATGCAGCGCCCATAGGGCTAATGTTAAAATGCCCAAATCAAAGGGAGGCACGGTGCCCCGGTGCCCTCCCCGTTCCGCCGCCGATGTGCCCTCATATAGCAGTATGGGGTCCTAGAGACTGATATTCAGCCTCTGTGATGAGTGTGACCTATCTTAACCTGAAAATGGATATCAAAATGCTCCACTTGAATCAAAGGTCATGTAATGGGAATCCTGTTAGAGTTGTTTCTTGTAGATGTCCTACCTCTACCAACCTGCTTTCAGAGCCCTGTGCAGATTATTGCAGATTACCTTAGAACGATGTGAGGCTGCTTAGACTATGTAGTATGGTGCTCGAAAGACCGGCTCGGACCCCCCCCCCCCCCCCCTGACACTATCGGATGACCTCACATGGAAGGGGAATTCTCAGATCGATTTGAAGCTCTTTTAGGGCAGTTACTGTGTCAGGGTGTCCTGAAAGCTGGACCGCCCTCACGAAATGATAGCCAAATTATAGCATACCTAGCTAATCTTAGCAATCTTACACTAACACGCATGCAATATACCCTGTAATTCAATTCGCAATTCGCATTGACTACCCTGTAAGTCAATATACCCTGCACGCATGCATAGTAATAACAAAATGGAGCAATGATGACACTCCCGTATAGGTCGGCGAGTGTTGAGTTCTTTGTCTGTCACAACATTAGGTATAATGGCTCCCTGCATTTCTAGATCTCAAATTCCTTAGCTATACGACTGTCAACACATTATAAATGCATATTGTGAATGATTTAGTCATTCTTTACGCGAACACAAGCTTATAGGTATCCAGAATATTGGGGGGTACTGTACCCCCCAGGTAAATTATTGGGGGGGTCCGGACCCCCGCGTACCCCCCTGTGGCGGAGCCCCTGTGGTTGAACAAGTGCCTGGAGTCCTTAGAAGCCAAAAAGTAAACGTTGCCGAAAGGGCGGACTCGGGCTGATAACACACGGTATATGTTACCTATAAAATAAAATTGGCCGAAATCAAAAAGAATAATATGCTGAAGCATATCAAGGTTACCGAAAAACCGAATGGCTGAAACAGTGCCGAAACATATAATAGGAGTATGGCCGAAATAGTGTCGAACATATAAATGTTGCCGAAACCGAAGGGCCGAAACAGTGCCGAACGTATAATCTATTGGTCGCCCGATGGATGTGTATCCAGCTCTGCCGGTCGGGGGAGGCGAAGCCGAGCCTTGACAATGGGAGAGTGCTTGCCGTTGGCTCCATCCGAAGGCTGTGAATCTTGTGCTCTGTAAACGGGAGAAGTTTCAACGGACACGTTAACTTCGCGTAGTTTGTCGGGTCCGCCACGAGCTACGCCCCTGTAAGAAAGTACTAGGGGAAACTGAAAAATTAGCTTGGTGAGGGTCTGCTGTCGCCGGAATCAGTGTCTGTGAATAGAAGCCGTTAGTCGGGATGCGGGATACCTCACCTTGGGTCGGTCGTGCCGACCAAAGGTAATACGACTTACATTGTGGGGTGGCTTGTGGAGCGCACAGTCGAGTCGGAGCACTGCACAGTGGTTCGGACTGGAGCGAGAGTGTCGGTGGTTTGAAGGAGAGCTCTTTTATACCCCACCAACAGTCGTTAGTGTCAGTCTTGCATGCCCGTTTTTTATACTAACATTGTATATGTTACAGGTAATGTGTGGAATCAGGCATTCTATAGAATGCCTGACCGACCAGGCATTCCATAGAATCCCTAGGTATTCTATAGAATGCCTGACCCACCAGACATTCTATAGAATCCCTAGGCATTCTATAGAATCCCTAGGTATTCTATAGAATGGCTGATTTTCAGGCATTCTATAGAATGCCTAAGAGATGCACGAATCTTTCCAACACATTAGTGTATGTTGTATATGATTATGAGCACAGACCGATATGTAACATTATTTTTTTCTGCCAGGCTACCTTGCGGTAAGCTATTTATGTTCATTCAGTCAAATGTTCATTCAGTCATTCATGTTCATTCAGTCAAATTTTCCCAGTCAGGTATTCAATCTAACCTTATTAGGTCAAATTGCATCAGAATTTCATTCTGAGAGTTCAGAGTATTTATCTTAACACTAGAAAGACGATGGTGGTAATGTCAATGTCGGAAACGCCTTTGGTAAAAAATTACACAGAAAAAAGTTTTATAAATCGTCCATTTTGGGAGGTGCTTGCCTTCTAAGGAATTGATTTAAGGTCAAACTGGAGAAAACAGCTACGAGCCAAAGATGGCCAAAAATTGGCCTGACCTAAAAATGGCTTTGCTATTTGTTTGAGATTTGGCATCCTTTTGAACATTGCCAAAGAATAACTGGACTAAAATTTCATAATTTTGACGACCTTTCGAATACCGCATGGCCCAGAAGTCAAGCTGGAAGGGGAGATCGAACAACACCTAATCTGGCTCTTGTTACGGCCGGGCCACCGCCCGGGCGTGGAATAATGAACCATTTATTCAGTTTATTCCCTGACATTGCAGTGTAGGTTGAGCTGTCCAGTGTCCATGTATATTGAGAGTCGTTACACGAAGTACTTACCAGTATAATGCCTTTTGGGGCGATTAACGGAGCGAGCGAGAGGGTGGGCCTTGCACGTGCGAAATTGCGAGGGGGTACCTCCAGCTGGCTTGTGCACGGCACCCTACTAACCGGTCTCTAGCAATGTGCCAAATTTGAGCACAATTGGCCCAGCCGTTCTCGAGATCTGGAAGCGGCACCCTGCACGTGCGCACGTGCAAAATGGGTCTCAACTGACTTTTGCACGGCATCCTACTAACCGGTCCCTAACCATGTACCAAATTTGAGCGCAATCGGTCCAGCCGTTCTCGAGATCTGGAATCGACCCCTGCACGTGCGCACGTGCAGCAGCACCCCAACTCTGGCACATGGATATGCAATATGCATTGCCTAGTGGGTGCCTACCTACTCGTACATGCCAACTTTCAGCGCAATCGGCCAAGTAGTTACCGAGATATTGCAACAATTACATAAGTGACACCTCTTCGTTTTGCACGTGGCACGTGCATAAGGGGTCACCCACATGCATCGGGAATAGTCCAATACTTGGTAGAAGGAATGAAGTTACCCTACAAAAATTACCGCGTGTAAATCGGTCAAGTGGTTGCTGAGATATAAGCGTCGCAAAATCGTGACCACGGCCGGCCGCTCATACTCAAAAAATTTCCGTTAATCTAGGGAAAGACTCCGCTCGCTTCGCTCGCTCCGTAATGACGACATAAGATGTGACCTTTTGCTATATTCTTCACCTTCATTTCTAACATCAGAGGCCTCTTGCACCAAAATCCTCTTGCACCAATG